TACAAGAAGAATAAAGAAAACAATAAAATAGCAGGTTTTTCAGATGCTGATTGGGCTGGTGACAAATCTGATAGAAAAAGTACCAGCGGTATGGCCATATTCCATGGTCATAATTTAGTTTCATGGTCTTCAAAGAAGCAGACTTCCGTTGCGTTATCAACAGCTGACCCAGAATATATAGCTGCTGCAATGTGTGTATCTGAACTACTCTACTTGAAGGGACTATGCAGTGAATTTGGAGAGTTTAGTGTTATTTTATATGTCGACAATAATAGTGCCTTAAAAATATGGAATAACTATGATAATGCAAAGCACTCGAAACATATAGACATTAAGGTGCATATTGTCAAGGATGTTGTCTGCAACAAAGTTCTGAACGTTGATTATGTGAGCAGTGACAAAAACATCGCTGATACCTTAACGAAACCTTTGTGCAGTGATAACTTTAAATTCTTTAGAGATAAATTAATGAATTATTAGAGGTTATATTTTTGTTTACAATTTGAAATATTAGACAGATGTCAAGATGAGAGTTTTGTTAAGCCATAAAAGATTAGAGACTCTGGGTCATATTCCAGAACTCTACTCAATGCTCAAGTCAGGACTTGAGTATGATTTAAAGCATTGAAAATCATACTCAAGTCCTTGCCATAAGAGTCGTATTTCCAGTGCATGAAATCATACTCAAGTCTGCTCAAGTCCTGACTTGAGCATTGAGCAAGGATCGTATTCCAGAACTCTACTCAATGCTCAAGTCAGGACTTGAGTATGATTTCTAGCACTCGAAATCATACTCATGTCCCTGCCTTTAAGGTCGTATCTCCAGTACTTGAAATCATACTCAAATCCTGACTTGAGCAATGAGTAGAGTTCTGGAATACGACCCTCAGAGTTGTTATTATTGTGTTTTAAATTGTACCAAGCAGTGAAAGTTTTTTTGTTGTTTGTAACTTGAAAAAATGAACTGCCTCTGTGGCCGAACGGTTACCATGCCGGACTGCCACGCAGAGGTCCCAGGTTCGATTCCCGGGCCGGGAGAAATATTTGTATGCCTACAATTATTTCTCTCGTGAGTGTGGGTGTAATTTGTGGTTGTCTTTGTGTATGTCCATGGCACCCGCGACACAGGGTTTCCCTAGTGCGGGGCTATGTTGAGTATGTGCGTTATTTATTAAAAAAAAATTAAAAAAAATTGAGAGGGGATGTTAAGAGTCGAAGCCGTTAAAAAAAGAAGAGTAATGGCTGTGTGAATTCAAAAGTCTGTGAAAATAAAACGATTAAGATGAACATATATTTTACTTACTTCCACTACTAGCAAACAGAAATGCTAACAATAAAAAGAACGAATAAAATTCATTTATTTATTTAAACTTTATTGTACAAAACACTGAAGTACAAATGGCGGACTTAATGCCATAAGGCATTCTCTACCAGTCAACCAATTGGCCAAACAGAAAAAAAACAATAGGTTGGTGCTACACTTAAACAAGAAGAACAATATACTAGAAAGCTAATCGATAATTTGTATGGTATAAATAAATAACATAATATAAACATACTTATTATACATACATAATAAACCTACATATATATTATAATAACAAATAATATAATGTATGTACTGAAAGCAACATTATACAGAGTCTTGATTTTGACAATTGTCAAACAGATGTTTGCGCATCATGCGCTTGAAAGATAATTTGGTCTGAGCTTGTCATATATGAAGCGAGAGCATGTTCCACAGACGGGTGGCATGAAGGGTAAAAGAATTAGACAAAAAATCAGTGCGGTGAGAAGGAATAGAGAGCTTAAGGCTACGGGAAGATCGAAATTCGCATTCCGGCCGAGCGATTTGAAATTGAAATGAACAAAATGGAGAAAAGAGTGGTTAATATTCTTAAGGACCTGCGTTCACGGATGGGAAGCCAATTTAGTTGACGACAAAAATTAGAGATGTGGTTATACTTCCGCAGACCAAAAATAAACATAATGCAGTTGTTAAGAAGACGATATAATTTGTTCAAAGAGACTTGAGAGATGTTACTGTAACACACGCAACACTAGAACTTGAACAAGGAGAGTTTTGGTTTTAATGGGAAGAAAGTTCTTAAACCTGTATAGAGCTCTTAGTTTGTCTATAATCCTACGACAAACGTCAGACACCTGGGGATACCACGTAAGGCCTGTGTCAATAATAAGCCCCAACCCCATTCTTTACTTGATTTGACAGAGAAATGACTACGTTTTCAAACATTATTGGTGTCACGCACGACATATCACAAGACGAAAAAAGGCGTGAACTTCCAAGGATGATGGCTTGACACTTGGAAGGGTTCACATTGATATCAAACCTTTGGGACCAAACCGAGATGATATGAAGGTCGTCATTAATTAATACAATTGCATTACTGATGCCACCGCCATTAACCTCGGTATAAAGCTGCAAGTCGTCGGCATACAGGTGGTAAGGACATTTAATGCTGGACGTAATCAAATTTATGAAAATAGAAAACAAGAGAGGAAAGAGAATTCCACCCTGAGGTACCCCAAAAGTGAGTTGACGACAATTTGAGAACGAGAGATCAATACGAATCGCTTGTTGGCGATCGCGGAGATAAGATGCGAACCAATCAGCTGTCGTTGATGAGATGTTTAGGTGGTCTAAGGTGGCAAGGAGAAGGTCATGATCCACGACGTTGAATGCATTGGAGAAATCTATTAGGACCAGCACAATAAGTAGAGTACAGTCTATGCCCCTGCTTACATCCTCAACAATCTATAACAAGGTAGTAGAAGTACTATGACCTGGTCGAAAACCTGATCGAAATGGAGAAAGGATATTGATTGAGTAAACATAAACAGACAATTGTTTGTGAACGACAGACTCTAAGACTTTAGAAAGAAAAGAAAGAATTGAGAACGGACGGTAATGCTTGTGCAGACTGGGGTTAGTAACTTTTGGAAGAGGGATTACATGAGCATTTCGCCACAGAGAAGGAAAAGCCCCAGTCATCATCGAGAAATTAACTACGTGCGTGATAATAGGGAGTATACATTCTAAAATACACATTACCATAACTCTACTTACGTCATCGTGCCCAACAGCATTAGATTTAATTGACAAAACCACTTTCCTGATCTTTCCTGATCTCATCTTCAGTTACTGAGGTGAAAATAAAAACAGACTTTGAAATTTTGGGCAGTGCTCTAATAAATTCAATACTTTGTTGTTTTGGTGTTGGTGTCTAAAGCTGTTGTTTTCTTCATTTATTTGCTGCAGAGTAATTTAAGTATGTATAAAAAATACAAATTTATTGTATCAATAGAATTAGACGCCATGACTTCGCGAATTTTCTATTCGTATTGTCGATAAATATTACGTAGGTAGTGAAAATATCTAATTATTAACTAGACTTGCAATTTCAAATATCTTGATTACCTTACTTAAAGTACAGGTCCGAAATATAACATTTTATGTTATACTTTACTCATTTATTACTCTAGTTAGTGAATTAATGAAAAATATAATAATATATCGATATAAATACTTATTAGACATTTATAATTATTAGAATTCTATTAATAGAAATAGAATCATAGATAACAGATTCGCGTTAGAATTTTCGCTATGTTGCCGCTCTGAGCACACATTTGCGCGTGTGCAGATAGCGCCTTGCTGTATGTAGTAGTAATAGTAGGTAAATAATTTTCAACCGTTGTGTGGAGTATCCGGTTGTGGTAGTGCGTCACGAAATGATGTAAAATTTGATAACATTCTTGATTTTTCAGGAGATCTGATGAAGAACACGGGATGTTTTCAAGGTTTTTGTACAGTTCAAGTAGGTCATCGATAACCTACCTATTCTAGACAGAAAAATGTGGGCAATCGAAAAATATTGCAAGGGTTGGTGGAGTAGTTACAGTGAGTGCACGACGGGGAGGAGGTCATAAGCATCTATTCAGGTGTCCATTGAAACATCCATGACCAAGATGTAATTTGCAAATGATTTTTTTTTCCAATTTCTCTTGGCTAAATAAAGAACTTCTTCTGATTTCCATCCATTTTTTGTTGTCGTCCAATAACTCTTCTATGTATACTTATTTATCTAAATTTATTTTAGAAAATAATAATAATAAGTAGCTAAAACCCTTACCGCGAAAAGCCAGGAGAAATAAGAAATAAAATAAAAAATATTGCCTTAATTTACAGACTGTTTAGTTTTAGACCAGTAAATAAAATAAACAAATAAAATGAAATTTATTGTCTTAACCTAGTTTACATAATATATTTCCTGATGAACATATTTATATTTAAAGCGCCACAGTCAATTATAGCTGTGGCTTGTGCTGAATGAAGTCCTTTTACATACGTCACAACCGTACAAATGACAGTATAAAAGTAGTCATTAAATTTAAGGTTTTATTTTATTTTATTTTTTTTTATAAAAAATTAGTGCGCATTTGACCTCCATCTCACCTGAGTGACGATGACGTGACGTGGCGCGGGAGCCCTGGCGCAAGCTAGAGCGGCCGACCCCTGGGGGATTAGTGGCTCTCCAGACTGGAGGGAGAGTCCCCACATAAAGATTTCCCCCCCGTAAAAAAAAGGATGGTAAAGAAAGAAAGAAATCATTTATATGGTATGTGACTGAGCATTCTCCTGCCTGCGCGGCGGATTGACATACAAGTAGTGAATGGGCCGTTTTACGCGGCGGACGACAAGGCGGGCTGCAGTGCAGGATGATTAATAAGTGTCCTTTAAACTTTAGAAAAGTTTCCCCATTCTAAAATAAGTAAAGTTAGTCAAAGCAATTCGTAAGTGGCTAAAACGCATAGATTATACACTCTATATTTCAAGCTAAAACGTTTACCGAGAAAAGCCAAGAGAAATAAGAAAAAAAAAACTCTGTAAGTGGCTAAAACTCTTACCGCGAAAAGCCAAGAGAAATAAGAAAAAAATGTAAGCGCTTTTTGTATGTATTGTAATGAATCTTTGTGAATGAAATCACAAAAAACGTACTTTCGCCTGATTTTATGCATCAAAGTTAGCAAAACAAGTTATTGGGTGCTGAGCAGTTTCCTCTAACTGTAATATGAGGCTTCAATATAGCATTGTGAAGTAATATTACTGAGGTGGGTTTTGGGTCAGTTTTCCCTATCTCGTGGTAAATCCCTTATGAGTCATGCGTGTGTCAAGCGTCGAGTGCCAGTGTGTTTCGAGCTCGCACCTTGAGCGATTCTTCTGCGACTAGCAGCCATGTTCGGCCGCGACTGGGACGACGACGACTGGTTCGAGGTGAGTACACGCTGCAGGACATTGCCCCTGACATCTTACAGTCAGCTGTAGTCACTGCATCTAGCAGTGAACTGCAGTTTGGCTTTTGGAGAGCACTGTTTGTAAACGCAGACATTGAAGCACAACCTTGGCTGGTGCAATATTTGTAGGTATTGGTACTGTTGGCTGTTTTCTGCAACTCAAACTTGCAACAATTTCTCTGTAATGCTACCACTTCCTATCAAAATCATCGCCATGGACCAGACACTAGTTGTAGTTTGTGGAAGATGTAGGATTACTGGAATGAAACTGGAGTTTTAAATAAACATTTATATATAATTTTAAATAAAGACATACATTTTTACTTGTGTAAGAATGACAGACTAGAGATATTATTTTTCCTATGACACTATTGTTTATAAACCGAACTACTTTGATTGCAATACCAACAGCCCCCTCAATAAAAGTATGTTAACACATACATACAAAAGGGAACTTAAGACTTAAACCATTTCTTAACATACATACCTCAACAAATAATAGATAACAAACATTAAAGAAACTATAACACAGAATTTGGAGGCTAATAAACAAAGATCTCTACCATTTTAAATACTTGAAATGATGGAGGCTTAATGAAAATTCTCGTTATTGTCAACGCTCACTACTCTTGTAAAAAAATGTCAGTTTGATTATTAGACAAAGCGTTCATTTTGGTCTTCATGGCCTCTTACCATTTTGAGGCATTTGGGGAGGACTTGGCCTCTTTTAACGATGTAGGCTCTGTAGAAGTGTTATAATGCTGTAAAGCAATAGGTGGTCTCACATATTCTCAGGGTTGCAAAGTCCTAGTGTCCACAATATAAGGTTCATTCTGAACAATGCCTCTGTGACGCTCAAAGTTGTCATGCATATGTTTAGTAGCCAGACTTGTAGTCACATTCTGTTTATGATAGACCATCTCCCAACTTGGTAAAAAGCTGCTGACACAACAGCATGTGCAGCAACCATTTTTTCTTTGATCTTTATTGATTCAACATGCGACATAAACAATTCTTGTTTTTTTTTGTTAATATCAAGTGACTGTATGAACAAGTTGTGTGCCTGATGGTAAGCTACATGCCTGTCCGTAACAGTTGCAGTGCCACTCAAAGCCTTAAATTGCAAAGATCTGAGAGGCTCGGCCACTGCGCCTGTCACCCTGAGACATGTGCCTGTAATTTCACCAGCACCCTTATCCTTCACAACTGGAACACAGTAACACTGACTTTACTGCTTCGCAGCAGAAATAGGTAAGGTGGCAGTACTTCCCTGGACAAACTCTCACATGGAGCTCTACTGCTACTGTTTTCCTCGGCTAGTTGCTTTGGAAGAGTTATTTGACATTGTTAGTTTGTCAGCTTGACTTGTCAAGGTTTCTTATATTTTTAAATATCATCTTAAACAGTTGGCCATTGCCCTTTGCAACAACCATAAGCTCTTTGTTTTTAAAGAGTTTACAACATTTTTGATTGAATAACATCAGTAGACCTTTCTCTAGCGCACTCATGGCATTAAAGAAATTTACTTTTAGATCTGGAACTACAAAATCGATTTTTAAATTAACGACCTGCCAATCACTGCTATTGTAAACTAGCAATCGTATACTCCTTACACCAAGGGTTTTATAGATGTTCCATCTCCTAACTGCACAATATGTTCATATTCGAAGTCTTTATGCTCCGACATGTTCTTTTGGCTTCTCCACATATGTTGAGTTAACCACTATCTCTATGTACCACATGTCGGTCGAACTATTAATATCAGAAACAATTAAAGGTTGTCCATCATCAATGCTCTTCGTCAATTTTGAAAACAGCGTAACTTGGTTTTTGGACGAAATACCTTTTTAACTCTTCAAACGAGTATCAGGCAATTAAAGCTTAAAATATAATTTGTAGACCGTTTTTAGTTATAAAGGTATAATCATATTTAGGAACTTACGTGGGTGGTCCTATTAACCACTCGGATTTAACGTGCTCACTATGGGGATTCCAGATAAAGTTAAAACTCCGTTATAATTTAGTTGTCACACTTTTATTGTTCCTGCCAATTAGTATACGGTACAATACAATTAGAAGATTTACACAGATTTACTAGGAACTATTTATGGCGAGGAATATTATTGGAATCGTTCGGACCGGGCGCGCGACGGGCGATGACTGACTGCGCACACGCGGAGGGCTGAAAACGTAACGTCAGCACTGTGTCCCTACAATATTCCTCCCCTACAACCTTTTTTGAAAAAAAATACAAGTACCAAAAACAAAAATAACATTTACAAAAAACACAGTTACAATTTCTAATGCAATTATAAATAAACGCTAGTCAGCATAACGTGCCAGTCTAGCAAGTTGCAACACACATGTATCGACTTACAGTTTTGTAAACAACTGGTGCTTAGCACTTTTGTTAAACTTAAACATGAATATTAATTTACATTACTTTAACCGACTACGCAGGTCCGGTTGTGAAGAGTACAATAATAATTTACCTTACGTTACTTTACTTTTGTATTATTGGTAGGTACACTTAACAAAACTTATTACTAGACTTACTTATTTGGGTACGCGCAGGTACGAAACTTACATTTACGTAAAATACACTTATTACGAAATACCATGAAACACTTTTACACTTCCACTATCTACTAGTAGTGCACTTGAGTTGGGACTGTTTGGGCCGCAATCGTCTGTCGGGCCTGTCCTGCTTCGATAGATGCTACTAAATCTTTAATTACCATTTTCTTAGCTCTTTTTCCACAGCGTTTAAACATTAAAAATACACAACTCAATAGAATCATAGTAATGATGACTATTGTGATTACTGAGAAAATTTCTAATTTTCTTTCGATCTGAGCAGTAGCTTCATTTGCTCCATTTTGAGCAATAATGACTTGTTCGGTTTTGCTCTGTGTTTTACCCATTGTAAAAATATATGTATACGAGATAACTGTATGTACTCGATGAATAGAAGATTAATAATGATCTTTCGTATTCAGTGAGATTTACTACAAGACTTTGCTTACGCTGTTAAAACCTAGATACAAGAGAAATTTCACAACTTCATGTGCAACATTGCTCTTTTGATACATTTTACTCTACTGATCTAATTATTATCCTAAGTTGCATGTTAGAAGAATTAAGTACAGTCGGTAACAAAATGGGTTCAGCATTTTGTTCAGAATACGTGTCGTAGTACCTAACTTATTATCTACTGTTATCTATTGTCTAATTTAATTCCTAACTAACTAATGTGTACCTACTTTCTATTACGGGGTGTGACAACTATATCTATACTAAGAACTGTATCTATTCTAATCTATTACTTAAAAAAATAAAGTGTACTAACTACCTATCTATCTATGTTAATCTATTTGTCTAAGATCCTAAAGCAAATTTAATGTAACGTGTATTTGGCTTAACTATACGTCCACTGCGTGTAACGATTTGCTTACACGGAGCTTCTGCTCTGGTGGTCTCGTTTCCGTTGTCACGTTTCAATGCGGGTGACTTCTGCGCAACTTGTTTACTGTTATAGCTATTGTGCTGTTCATTTTCTAATAACACGTAGGCGGGCTTAAGTCTGTTTATTGAAATACGAGCCTGCCTATTGGGCAATTGCACTAGATAAACTTTTGTACCTCTTTCAAGTACTCGATACGGACCATCGTATGGTGATTTTAAAGGTTTACGAACTGTGTCGTCTCTTACAAAAACATAATCGCAATCTTTTAAATCAGGATGTACGAAAAATGTTGTATTACTGTTATGTGGCTTGTTGACTGAATTAAGATTTTGTAACGTTTTACGAATTTTCTCTACAGTACTAAAGGGGTCGCTAGGAGTAATTTCTTTTGAAATTTCGAAAAAATCTGCCGGCATACGTAAGGTACGCCCAAAAGTTAGTTCGCTAGCAGAAATACCACTATCACTACGACAAGCATTTCTTAAGCCTAATAAGACTGTAGGTAATTCTTCTAACCATGTCGTATTGTTTACGCAACGAGCCGAAAGGGCCGCTTTCAATGAGCGGTGCCAGCGTTCGACTAAACCATTACTTTCTGGATGATAGGGTGTTGTACGAATTTTGTTTATTCCCATGATTTTCATCAGACTACTGAATAAATTACTTTCAAATTGTCTACCTTGATCGCTAGTTAACCAAACTGGACATCCATAACGTGTGATCCAGTGCTCATAAATTACTTTTGCAACTGTATCTGCTGTTACTTCAGCAATGGGAATAGCTTCTGGCCATCGGGTATTTCTATCTAACATTGTTACTAAGTACCTATATCCTTGTGGAGATGTCGGTAGTGGACCGACTATATCCACATGGATATGCTCAAAACGATTTACTGTATGAAACTGACCTAAAGGTGAAACAGTGTGCCTATTTACTTTAGAACGTTGACACTGTACACAGGTTTTTGCCCACAAACCAATATCTTTATTCATATTAGGCCAAAAATATTTTTTACTTATTAATTTTCTCGATGTTCTGATACCAGGGTGACTCAAATTATGTAAGCTATCAAAAATGTTTCGTCTAAATTTTCCTGGTACATAGGGTCTTATTATTTTTGTTGAAGTTTCGCAAAATATTTCTACATTACAAGTTGGTATTAAAACTTTCTTTATAACGACGTTATCTCTTACTACATTGCCACGCGTAATTTGAACTATGTACTCGTCTATCGCTTGTTCCTTAGCAAGCTGCTCATAGTCGAGTACAGTTGGGCACATAATTGTTTCAACTCGTGATAACGTGTCGGCTACTACATTGTCTGGGCCACTAATATGTCGTATGTCATTCGTGAATTCGCTAATAAAAAGTAAATGTCTAGTACGTGTTGGAGTTTCTTTGTCGTCTCTACCGATTTTACTAAAAGCAAAACATAAAGGTTTATGGTCTGTATACACTGTCAACGGTCTTCCTTCAAACATTTTACGGAAATATTTGATTGACATATAGATTGC